TAACAAAGAAAGTTTTGGATTGGAACCCACAGGGTAAGAGATCAAGGGGAAGACCGCGTGGAACCTGGAGAAGAATCACAGAAATCGATGTACAGAAAAGGGGGAAGACATGGTCATGGAATAACATCAAGAGGCTAGCCCAGGATAGAGAAAGGTGGAAGGTGTTTGTCCGAGGCCTATACCTTGGTGCTGGGTGAGAACGGCAATGACGACAGCGACGACCAGCAGTTGTGTTTTTGTATTAGTATTATTATTCACACACTCATGTAGTCCTATTACTATAAGTGTACTTGTAACCTATGTTGCCGCAACCACTACGCTGTAAAACACATTTCCAAAGAGAATCAATAAACTGGAATCTATTTCATTTATCGGTTTCTTTTTTATTTATTCATTTATGTAGGCCCTATATATTTATTTAATTTTTCTTACTTTTTTTCCCTTTAAATATTATTTATTCATTCATTCATCTTCTTCTAAATTAACTTCTACAGCTTTACCCGGGTCATGGACGAGTCAGACGGCTACAGGATTCTGGTGGGCGGTTACCGTGGCAACGCCGGGGATCCCTTCCACTCCATGTCCTACGACATGCGGATGCAGAGCATGCGCTTCTCCACCTTCGACAGCGACAACGACCTTGACAATGGCGGCAACTGTGCTCTGACCTTCACCTCGGGCTGGTGGTTCAACAAGTGCTTCCAGGTACATGTAACACTTCTAACGTTATGTTACTTACTTTACTTTACTTTTTTCTTCCGCTTGTACCGGTGGGTGTCGCGGGGAGACACCGGCGTCTGTCTACAGCAAGGCGAGTGGCCTGTAGGAGGGACATCCCGTGAGCTCTGAGGGTGTCTGCCACAGATTCAATCCATCGTCGCCTTGGTCTTCCTATGACTTAATGTTTGCTTTGTTTTAATAAGGTTTTACGGTGCCCACAACTGCGTAAGGTCATATGAGCGCCAAGGGGTGGACGTCAACAGAGAAGTCCAAACGGTCAGACTTAGTAACTTACTCTACTCACCTCTCTAGCCTCAACAGCACTAAGTCTGCTTCGACTATCAAGGCACCCCGGACACAACATATAGATGAAGTAGAGGAATAATGACGATTGTAAAGAAAAAGCAGCAGTTCCTCCTATGTTGTTCCGGCACAGTAGGAGCATGGCATTGATAACTCAGCGCATTTACAATTCTACTGTGATTAAGAACATGTTAATATCCCCCCTTTGGGAATGGCCTAAAGTCTAAAGACTGCTGAATTCAGTCAGTAATCAGTAGCACTGCCCTTGTGGGGTGGGGTGGGGTTGGGTGGGGGTTAACGTTATGAGAGATACGTGTAGCCTACATGTATTTATTTACATTGATATCATGTCTACAGTGTATGATGGGGTTTTTTTGTGGGTTTAAAAAAAAAAAAAAAAATTATATCTGTAATTTGACCTGGAAAGGGTACAGTATTTCAATGTGGGGTGTTGAAATGACGAAAAGAACTGCCTTGTCTAAGTATGTTCCCCCACAAACAAACAAACACACAAACAAGAGCATTTTAAAGTAATGTAGCTCGTTTTACAAGAGATCTGACCTCCAGATTATCATCATTATTCATCTTTGAATTCTTCAATGGTTTTTTATTTTTATAATGCACACCACTCACTCACGGTATTAAACTGTCTTCGGGGTTTTATGCGACCCGCATAATTTAGCAAAATTGTATCATTTTTTGCATAATTTCTGATTATTTTCCTTTATCCTTCTTTGTTAAAATATGATAAATTAACAGAATCACATAACTTCACATCATCAGGCTCAGTTTGCATAATTTCAGAATTTTTTTGCAAAAAAAAACCAAAAGTGGGGACAGATTGAATAAATTAGGCCAACATTCACTTCTGTGACATTCTTTTACAAAAATGTTTTCTTTTCTTGCCCCCTCCCACCCAGATCAACCTGAACGGCGTGTGGTACAGCAGCAGCCGCTACGCTGGCCCCAGCATGAACGGGATCGTGTGGGATCTGTGGACGGAGCACTTCAAGGGTTACTCTCTCAGACACACGGAGATGAAGCTCAGACCAGCGGACTTCCACGTCAAGAGAAGATCATAGGCTCAGCTCAAGGCTCACTGCACAAGCAATGATGATGTGTCTTTTTCTGGTCCTTTGTTGTAGGCTATCCCCCCCCCCCCCCCCAACCCATTTTCTTTTTTTGCCTTTCAGATCCAAGATGTTAATCAACAGAAAAAAATTATTATCAGATTGCACATGATTATGGTAGTTCAAAATGTTATAGACAATTAATTTCTTTATGAAGAGCCACGAGAGGCAGAGAAGGAACATTCTTGTCTGTGGTGGTGATCTAAAGATGATAAAGTTGATGATAACAATGGTGATGACAACGATAGAAAAGCAGTAGGCCCTACATCTTGAATGGCCCCCACATCACAACAAAAAAATGTCCTGAGTCCCCTAAACAGCAACATGTCTTAATAAATGCCAACATTTAAAAAAAAAAAAAGAATCACTATGCTGTGTCAAAAGAACCCATCTCACTAAAGAAGCATTTTGTTTAGAAGTACCTAGAAACTAGAACAGATCCCTCCCATCCAAAGAAGCAATGCCTTCAATGTCTCGTTGTTATTCAAAATAAATTAAAAGACACCATATCATTGAAATTTCTCCTTGGCATTTGAAAAAGAGCTTGAGTTGTTTAGAATTTACTTGTACTGTATTACTGTACTATACATTACTCTCATTCATATACACATATACCGGTATATATATATATGAGCCACTTTCATTAACAGTTAATACATATTATATGAATGAACACACTGAACATAATTCATTGTATAACTGCCCAGCGCTATTCAGAACATAATCAATTCTCAATGAAAACATTTATGCTATTATTAATATTCAATTCCTGGAAACCATATGGTGCCTTCTAAATTCATAGCTACAAGTAATCTATTCTTAATACAAATATATTTAGCGACTATTCACTCTTTTGTTGTCGTAAGTCATTTTGACCATATACGTCTACACTGCAGGAAGTCTGAATGCTGAAGGACATGATTCAGCAAAACAGGAGACAGAAAAAGATTTCTTCATACGAAATCACTCCTAAAACTCTGAATACAAGCAAAACTTGGGAATAATAAATGTGTCTGCTAAAAACTAAAAAACCAGACTCATAACATGGGATTGCAGGTTGAGGGGCTCATGGCTCAGCTTGGTCCAATGTGTTTTTGATAAGATAAAGGAATTTACACAAGTTTTCCATCCGACGTGGTCCTTTCAGAGATGGATATTAAATTCGGAGGTCCCTCCTCTTAAATTGCTTTACAGTGTGCAAGGGGTGTTATTTAACCTATACAATTTTATGTTTTTTTAAAAGCAGAGCAGTAGCGACTGAAAGAGAAGTTATCTTTTCCCACCTTCACTACAACACTTACTCTTGAGGTTGAAAGGACACAGTTAGGAGAGCCAGTGATTGTTGCAAAACACACACTCACATGTTTCTGAATTAAGCGAGATCACCGATAAGGGAGAAGCTTAACTCTTTCTTGTAGATGACAATGCCAAGAATGTAATGTCAAGAAAGATGACATGAGACAATTCTGAATAAAAGAAACATATTGTAAGGCCATGTTACATAAATATTTTCAAAAGTTTAATTCATTATCAAAATTTATTATTTTTCAACAAATATGGTCTCAAATCTTTAAAATTAATTTTTAAAACCATACAATAACACCTTTTCATACATTCAATAACACACTCCAATGCGAACAACACACTCACATACAATCAACAATACACTCTCATACACACCCAACGTACTGACAATTCTTCAGCAAACACACTCACACACAACACACTCACATACAATCAACAAACACTCGTACAAACACACTAACATACATTCAATGAAGACTCATACACTCATACACACTACACACTCACATATAATATTCAGCAAAGACTCATACACACAACACACTCACAAACATTCAATAAAGACTCTCATACACACAACACACTCGCATACAATCAACACCACTCTCTTGTACACACAACACACTCACACACATTCAACTTCATGCTTTCATTATTCAACTACACACTCTCATACAATAAAAAGCAGATGCACCAGGTAAAACTTCTAACATGAAAACTTCTCGTAAACTTAGAATAAATCAGGAACACAAACATATTAAAACATCATGTAGATACAGTACTAAAATTAAGAACACATTTTTTTCCTGAGGATGTCAAATTGCAAAGTTTTGGGAGTCACCATGACAATGAGCAGATTTTACCAGAGACTGCTAGGTGATTAAAAAGGCACATCAACACAATAATAATGGTCACTATGTGACTGGAAGGAAGGAGTAAGGTAAGCAGAAAGAAACAAAGGGAAGACAGTAAAGAAATTAAGAAGCAGTACCCACATAAGGCAAATCCTAAATAAACCCCATACTCCAGGACAAGATTAGAATAAAACCATATGGAAAAAAAGCTCTGAAGCAACGACACAGCTGACAAATTGGTGTACACGAGATATTCCAAATGCAAGAACAGCCCTACTCACTATTCGAACAGTATCTTTCTTATTATCAATTATAGTGATTCCAGAATGTGATTTAAGACTTATCAAACAAGTGGGGGGGGGGGGACAGACCCCAGGAATATGGACTTTTTAAAGACTTTGTGCAGCTGAGATCAGATAAACAGGTATGCCCTACGATCACGGGAATATTTTTAAAAAGCAGAAAGAGTGGACTCCATCTGGAATGCCCATTACTCATCCACCTTTTTTTAGACTGAATAAAGTACACTTACATAAAAACATAATAAAAATTTAAAATTTTCCTATATATTATATAGATATGAAGACCTGATCATTTTAAAAGAAAGATAAAATCTCCTAGCATGTACCCTTGTTGGGACATAGCTTAGGTTGTTGTAAAAAAACAAACAGTTTATCCTAACTCGCAAGATTCCCATAACAGGAATATTTTCAAAAGAGTCAAAATACGAAACTTCAAGGCAATGAATGACAGCACTCACCTCTCTCTCTACACACATACACACGCGCGCGCACACACAAACACACTTAATGTCAAGGATTCATTAAGCAATGTGTATTGCAGGCACTTATTAAGGAGTTCATTTGAATTCAACAACTAAGAACAATGAGCGACAAATATAGAAAAACGCAGAACACAGCAAAATGGTGGTCAGTTCCATATGTCCTTTCTCTTTTCCCGTGGTGATGTCGAAGTTGTACAATCCAACCTGTCAGTGGTCTGTACCCCAGATCGCTAGTAGTCTTCCTCATACATTGTCCAGATTTCCTAGATCATGCAAAGACCAAAAAAAAAACCTTGTAAAATCAAAAACTACTTCAATCAACTCTAAGGTGTAATACAAGATACAGCTGCTTTGACTCAAGAGTAAATAAATACTTTCTGTCCTTTCAAGTAGAAACACATTACAGTCATTTTCATAACTGGAGATGAGGTTTCCAGTAACGGCAAATTATCCATGTTCCATACTTTAATCCCCTCATGACAGCTCCCGTACACCGTACGTCCAACATTGTGTGCCAAGTTGCCGTCCTCGCGTACAATGTACGTCCTAAAATCAGCCGATTACGACAATCACATGGACCTTACTACATGCACCGTAAAGGATTTTATAACTGCACTACAATGGCTTTGAACATCCTGGCTAATAAAAATCGGGTGCAGTAAAAGTTGGAAAAACCATACGTCACAGAGGAGTTAATAACACTTTTATGGACCTCCTCCCCACCCAAATCCTAACTGACACAATTTAAATCTTTTAGGAGAGGAGCTGCTATAATTTGAACAGTCACGGCCAATCCAGGGAAGCATTGGAGAGCACATCTCAGCTGAGAGACCAAGATATTTGATAATGTATCTTCCCCCAAATCAGAATCGAACCCATGTTCTTTCGGGGTTTTTCGTGTGCACCAAGAACAATCTCATAACCATTCTCTTCAAACCTCACAAAAGCAGACAAAAAAAAAGCTGGGACAAACTAGTGTAAGAAAATCAATAATAAAGATCCCGATAAAATAGAAAACAAAAATCAATTACTCCGAAATGGTTCTACGTACTGCAAACCGTTGTGACAACATGGCTGAGGTACTCATGAGAGTTGCAATCTTTTCTGTTCCCCACAGAGGTGCTCAGGTCGTACCCAGGGCCGTACTCTAGTAAGTGCTGAAATAGAACACGCCACACAAAATAAGTTTGTTTTTAAATTAAAAAACGAAAAGTACATTCATGAAAAATAAATAAATAAATTATAAATAAATTGCATTTATATAGCGCATTTCCACAAAGAAGTGCTCAATGCACTGTACAATAATAAAATATTTTTCTTCATATTGTCGGTGTCACAAGCAATCCACTGAAGTCTGTATGGATACTTGTAACAACAGAGACAAAAAACTAAATTTGGCTGCGTTGTTCCTATCAGGAATCATGAAAAGCAAGAAAATTGTCAGCCTTGACCATAGCATTAAACTGCATTTTGGAGATAATGAAAGGTGCAACAGCAACGATATGATGTTCTGCAGGCAGCATCTGCACCGTGTGTTATGTCTTTCATCAACAAATAGAAGTGTGGGATTAAAATCCCAGAGAAGTATTCTGCGTTTTTCTCATTCTTGTCATTGTAGATAAATGTTTCACTTCTCCCTGAATCATAATTTAGTAATTTCAATAATCTATGAGATGGGCAATAATTTTGTCCTGATTTTTTTTTGCTGCAAAACTAAAAAAACAAATACTGTACTGGGATGCCGCTCAGATTTTGGGAAAATCACTAAAAATTTATGAAGTTGCATTTGCAAACAAGAAGAAATTAATAGACACAACTAAGATGGAATGAAACAGGATTTTTTAAAAGTTGAACAGTGGGAGCCAATGTTATCAGTTTAATTACATCTTCATTTATGATTGTATGTAATCCAAAAGTTCGCATTTTGTGAAAAAACACAAGACACAACTCGCAACCTCGGTGCTTTCTTCTTGTATCTCCCCTTTTTTTAATAGTGAAAATGAGACTTCTTCTTAAGCTCACTCTTAGTTATGAACTGTTTTCACTGTTATTAAAAATGGAGATACGACAAGAAAGCACTGAGGTCGCAACATACTTACTTCGTGTTCTGGTATATCCATCGGCAGCTTCCTCCTAGCAGCCAGAGCTGTCAGGAAAGTCCAGCACTTGGCTGTGTTGGGGAAATTGTATCCACCTGGACACAAAAAAAGAGGAGGAAAAGTCTTTCTGGTAATCTCTCTTGTATTTATGCTCTCAAAGTCTTCTTCTTAAACAGTTCTCTTCTAGAGTGTTATAAGCTGGTCAGTCTCTCCCCTAAAGCTGTTCCACGTACAAGTTAGATCAGACAAACTTAACAGAAACCACACGATCAAGATTTATTATAATAATTATTAGTATTATTAATATTATTAAGGCTTAACTAAATTCCAGCCAGCTTATCCGCAGTTGTAAGAGTAACAGTATGAAATAATAACCTGGAAATAACTTCATATGAAAAGTTTATTTCACGTTCTAATGGGTCCTTTAATGTTGCAGAACTGAAGAACATCACATACAAATCATGTTTTAATATTATTTTCTAATTTTCGTTTCTACCACTGAAAAAAACCCTCCTTATAAATACAACTTATTGAATATTCATTACCTCCACCAAGCAAGAGAGTGGGAAGATTCCAAGAGAGAAGGAAGCAGACACACTTGGCCAGACCGACATGTGTGAGGTTAAATGAAGCCATGGGATCATCAGACAGACTGTCGGCACCACACTGAACCACCACAGCTTGCCCTGGAAACTTTTCTTGCACTGTTTTCATCACCCTGAAAGGAATCATATAAATTCTATTTAGAAGATTTAATTATAATCAACATAAAGATTTCATGAACATCTTGCTCTCAATGGAAAAATAGAAGGCAAAAGAGGAAGAGGTAGACCCAGATCAAGTTAGTATAAGAACTTGAGCAGATAAGAGATGGGGAAAGACCAGGACAACAAGTTTTCTGAGAGCATCTGAGAAGATAAATGAGTGGCAAACTGGTTGCCAATGCCTGCTTCAGATGATGTCTGCTCTTGATGAAGATGATAATGATTTGGAGAAAAAAAAGTAAGGCAAAACTTGATTCAATGTGTCATTTCAAATTCTCAGGAAACTGCTTCACTGTCAGAATTTTTTTTTTCAAGCTGTAAGGCATTGCAAAGTCAAAAACAAAAAAAGGTAATAAAAGTCCACATCAACCACTGTGCAGTCTTATAAAATATCTAAAATTCATTTTTCAAATTCATAGGGTAGGAAACAAACTCAATCCCTATCCAATTCAAGACAGACACAGTCACACTTTGTCATATTCATATCCAAGAAAAAAATAGTGGTGGGTACTCTTCTGCAGAGGTAAGACTAAGCAAGTTGGCATTTGCGAAAGATAACTTGGTTTGTCTTTAATTATGTTCTTGAGGAGATTTTTGTTTTAGTTTTAGTAGAGGATTTACGGCAACTGCATAAGGTCATATGAGTGCCAGAAGATTACAGGTGTACAAGAGAGTAACAAACATAAAAGAAGAAGAAAGGGAGACAAGGACGATAGATATTTGATAGGAAAGAAGAAGCAAACCACGCCAGAGCACCCGAAAACCACCCACAAGGAGATATTCCCATTAATTCAAAATCAAACCTAGAACTCGTCTTGAATGAACTCTCAAACTTCGGTATTAAATTCCAATCTGTTCCCACACCTGTTTATTCAGCTATGTGTACTTGTATTCTTTTATTCAAAACACAAGAAAATAAAAAGCTCCTCAATTGTCGCTCTTGATGCAATTGTACTTTCATTTTGATTGATTACTTAAAATTCAGAAATCAAGTTGGTTTGTATATTTCTCAACTTGATATTGGCAGAAGCAAAAGAAGTTTGAAGCAGTAGTGTAATTTTTAAAAAGGCACTCTATATTTTAAATGGTTACGAAAAAAGGAAATATTTCTTTAAGTCACTTTTCAGGTGAAGAAGGGTAAAAGGAGATATGAGAGCAAATGACAGAAGTTTCAAAAGAATGGAAAAAGATGTGCACATTTGGGAGGGGGGAGAGAGTAAGCATGAACAGTTATTAAAATATCCAAGAGGGAATGTGGGATGTGTCTACCTGCAAAACACACCGTAAAACTCAGCATCTTTGATTCCATCCTTCAGAGGAACATTGACAGTGTAAAACTTTCCTCTTCCTGTTCCAACACTCTCAAGAGATCCAGACCCTGAAGATACATGAATCCATATGTTTGAAATACGAAACATAGTTAAAAGTGTTCCTCCTTAACTCTTTACATCTCTTCTGAATATGACTGATTAATAGTAAATATGTTTTACAGCAAAAGTAAGATTATTTGGGATATGGGCAGGTTCCAACCAGCCTGTCAAGATTAAGCCAGGCTGAGTGGGACACTGCACCCAAGCAGAAAGGTGAAGATACTCGATAAAATACACTACCCCATATATCTTTTATGTGCAAAAGTTGAGACCTTAACTATAACTCTGCAGATACTGGTTTGAATATAACTAAGGTAACTGCATACTTTGTGTCTTAATTTTAGTAGAGGTTTTGCTGCGCTCGCAACTGCATAAGGTCATATGAGCGCCGAGGTGTCGATGTCAAAAGAGAAATACTTACAGGGAATCTGACTTACTCTGCTCACCTCTCTAGCTTCAACAGCACAAAGTCTGCTTCGACCATCAAGGCACCCCGGAAATAGCGGGTCACAAGAGTGTGACAAACATACAAAAGAAGTAGAGGAAAAAATGACGATAGTAAGGATTAGGAAAGAAAAAGCGGCAGTTCCCTGTTGCAGTTCAGGCACAGTTATGAGCATGACATTGAGGAATCAGCCCATTTACAATTCTACTGTGCATAAGAACAGGTTAATGTCCCCCCTTTGGGAAAGGCCTAAAGACACTTCAGTCAGAAGCACCGCCCTGGGGGGTTATACTTTGTGTCTTAAACATCTTACATATGATATCATCACAGAGATTCAGAAAACAGAAGTTAGAAAAATGGCACAACATTCATTTACGACAAATCATTCATCGTTTTAATTCCTGTAAAAAAGAAACGCATCAACATTATGAAGGTCATTTATAGCTGGGAAAAAGTAAGCTTGACAGACAGAAACATTAGAGGGATAGTACAAAGTAGGACCTTCCAATACCACCCTCCAAATACCTGCTTACTCATGTCTTTGTTGAGGAGATCACAATTGTTTGGATCGCAAATGTAAGTTCTTTTAGAGTTCTTTGTGAACAAGAAAGATAATTATAGAACAAACCAGGGAAAAATCCAGTTGAGAACTTATGAAACGACACAGTCATCACTTTAGACGTCATTTCAAAAGCTTCCTCCACACCTGAAAAAAAAATGTCAAGCCAATACCCATAAAGCATCTGTATACTTAAATTTTACTTCCAAACAAGTAAGTGATGAATAAAAGAAAACCCCCCAACCAATTCCCACTGAAAAACAAAGCTAGAGATGAACTGTGCACCACTGAGATATTCAATGCACATCACAGCTCACTTATTGAATTTGTTTTGAACAGCTCTTCTTCAGATACCTCCACTGACAAAATTTAGATACTTTAGGATGCCAGCTGTTTTGACCCTGTGTGTCAGGGCCAACCCAGGTGAGTTAGATACTACGTCCTGAGAAAAACATAGAGATTGAATTCCTGCTCCTCAAAGAATGACTTTAGAGACACATAATATATAAAACAATGTAGTGGCTCAATTTCCTTACTGGTGTATCAACGCTGATTCAGTGACAGCAAAGCAAAAATAGATTTTATTCAGATTCTACAGGCTAAAACATCAAGCTCGTTAGTTTTAGTAGAAGTTTTACGGCTCTTGCAACACAATAAGGTCATATAAGTGCCGAAGATTAGAGGTGTTACAAGAGAGAAACAAACACAAAAAAGAAGGAGGAGAGATAAGGACAACAGATGTTTGATAGGAAAGAAGGAGCAAACCACACCAGAGCACCCGCCAACCACCCACTCAAACTCATTAAATCCAAAGAGAAACTGTACCACGCACCAAACAGTATTTACAACGAGACCCCACAAAACAATAGAGGTGCAATTTCCTTGCTGCACATTATAGCATTTTCCTTTAAACATGTAAAGAACTTACCATCTCCATGATGAAGATCCAGATCTACGTAAAGAACACGGTCATATTTCTCTCTCAGTTTGAGAATTCCCAGCACAATGTCATTGATGTAGCAGAAGCCTGAGGCACTGTCTCTGTTTCACACAAAAGACACAGCAATACATCATTATTCACTGAACTAAGATGAGTTTCATTCACAGAAAACTGTTTTAAAATGGACTGCCAGAGGTTAGGAATAGAGAATATAACACTGTAAAGTGATAAAAATATTCCCTTCCATTATGTCATATCTACCACTAGTATTATTGTTATGAACATTTGCACCCCTGAACCACATGACAGATTCTGAGTGTCTGCGCTGTTTTGCATTTCATCCTAAATATACAGTACTGTGAATGTAGCACTTACACTTATTATTTAGAAACACACAACCAGTTTTACTGGAATATGCAAAAAACAATGGCAAAACTAAACTTTCCTTAAAAGAGCTGGCATATCCATAAGAAACAATTTGAACAATATACTGGCTGGAAACCAAATAATGAGTAGAAAAGAAAGCTGCGCGAAAAAACCCCTGAAATAGCATATAATAATATAGGCACAACAAAATGATAAAACAAAATTAAAGCTATGTCAAGTTGCTGGATCAATACATAGCAACAACAAAGCTAGGTAAAAAAAACAACCCAACCTAAAACAGAATAACACATGCACATGCTGTGTCAAGAAAAAATACCAATCTCAGAAACATTTCCAACTCTAACAAAGTGGCCTTTCTCACCTTTTCGCATGGTGCCATCCCCCATACCAGTTGATGGCAATATCGGCAGACCCATTGAGAAGGGACTCTGCTGCCGTGATTGTTGCTCCACTGATCAGACTCGCTGTCTCAAACACTCCTGTCTGTTGTGGGCAGTCATATGCTGGAACAATTCATTTTTTAAATTTAGCACAATGTCTACAGCAACATTCCTCCAAATCCCTCAGCTCACCCTCATTCTCAAACAATTGTGACCACTGAGGCCTCCAAATTTTATAATGGTGATATTTAGATATGAAAGACTAAATAATTCAGTGGTATAAAGATTCGCTTTTAGCACATTTCAAAGAACAAAACTTTTGGTAATAATAAGATTTTTAAAATTACAAAATCTGTATGACATAAGATAGCTATATTCCCCAATTCCATATAAACTAAATTTTTCCTAACTTATAAACTTTGGCCGAAGTCGCTATAATACAGTCTGTTCTCTAAAACTATTCCACGTAGAAAAATCTTCAAGGAACAGAACTTGTTCATCATTCCCAAACAACTTGACACAATATTTTTATACGAACCACTTTACACGTTTTCTTCCCTTTTAACTTTCACACAAAAAAAGAGGAAACTGTTACAATTCATATTACAAAATTTATCGATAAGAAAACAACAAGCAAAGATGTGTTTGGACAGAGCCGTTTTACGCTTCACTGATCCATGTCACTGTGTTGAAGGCGGAAAGCCCCAAAAATGGAGGACTAAAAATAATAATGAGACTTCAGCAATGAATATAATATATTATATATTCAAAATAATACACACATAATCCATATCCTTCAGCCTCCGAACTTAGTTTATCAGAGATTTCCTCGGAGTCGCTGCAAGAGCCAATGCCCCGAAGACAGTTTATGTAGTCAGAGCAGTGGAATCCCAAAATCTCTGACTCCTCTGCATGTCTTGGTTCCAGCAATCTTGCGAGTACAGAACAAACAATCATTATAAAGTTAAAATCATTTTTTTTAAAGATGCAATGTAGGCCATGATCAGATTCTAATGTGTGCTAACCAGCAGTAAATTAGATACTGAAAAAGAAAATCCTTTTATGGATAAGTTCTTTTCAAGAGAAACTCTTTCATGACTACACACATGGCAAAACTAATTTAATTTATTACATCATGTACCTGCCATTTGCACAATAAACTGTAAGATACTACATTCAGATATATTTGTTTTACAAAGGTTTTACCACTCTTGCAACCTACATTCAGATAATAACAGTGGCTTTCAATTTTTGTTCCCCATTTACTTTACCTACGAAGTGAAAAAACATGCATGCACATTAATTTAGTCACAGATACATGTTTTAACAAAATTTTCAAAAACAAAAATGAACATGAAGAAACTGAACATGTATCATGTACGGTACTTACTCAACATACTGAAGAAGGCCGTAAACTCGGATAAGGCTGTGCACTAGTTCCGCCTGGGTACAAAAAAATAGTATAATAAATAAAATCTGAGGCTGCGACACTCACTATTTACCCTTTTTTTCTTAAAGCAATTTCTAAAAATGGCAATCAAATTTACCTTAGTTTACAGTAAAACATTTAGTAAAAAGCAAAATTTTAAATCTTTTCTAATAATAAAATTATGTCAATGGAAACAAATTGTAGAAAATCAAATAAAATGACAGTAGTCTGTTAACTTCCTATTACCTATCTGCTCTAAATATAATGGCCGAAGGGCTAGAACTCACATGGCTGCTGGATCGGAAAAGTAAAGCTCTAATATAAGGAACATACTTTTCCTCTGCTCCACTCACATTTGGACTTAGAAATCAGAAGGGATTCATTCATTTGAATATATTGCCCCTCTTAATTTATTGTTTTCTAAAAAATTATAATGAATAACACTATCCAAGATGACCATATGTTATTGTTATGTCTAAGACAACCGATTTTCGCCTCGACAATGAGTGGCCGTCTTCGACTATTTCGCCTGTACATGCAATAAATCTTTGACACAAGAAAAAAAAATCTTTATTTTAGTCAATAATCACTTCTGTGCCATGTCTTTCTAACTCACCCTTTTTTCAATTCTAATGAGCTCATTGGTCTTACATTTGAGCTCCTCACTGTGCACGTATGTGACTCGTAGAGAAGTTTTCGCTCGTTTGTTATCTTGGCAGCTCAGTCCGTTATCATCACTTGAACATTCAAAGGGAGTGGCACTGACACAATTACCAGTATCCGTGCTGTCCTGAGTCATGGAAACCTTGTTTTCAGCATTTTTCACCTCATCACTCAATGGTGTACAGTTTAGTTTTCTCTTCAGTGGTTTGTAAGTCTGCATCTCTTGTGAGTCATCATTGCTGAGATCAAATGGATCCTCCTTTGCCTCCAAGCTGCTACTCAGCTGATTTTCATTTTCCTTCTGACTATTATTATTAACTTTTTCATTCAACACACCATTCACCGAATCCTTCACTACCTCAAAAGGAACGGGTACAACAGCTTCACCAACTTTTGCACCAGCATACTCTTCTTCTCCCCGTTTCTTTGCAGACAGTAAACCACATCTTGGGACCAGGTTCAGTGCATTAACACTTGTATTCTTATTAATACCATCATTAACAAAAGCCTCACTGTGACAATCGGATTCAAAGTCAAATGTATCCATATTTAATTTCTCAGTCGCATTGCAGACCCACAAAAAAATATCCTTTTTAAAATACTGGCACTGGAGCGTCTTGAGGTCAGCCTAGTCCCCTCTTTTTTCTGTCAGCTTCAGTCTCATGACAGGGCCTCTGAAAAAAGAAATATATATTTATTATTTTTTAAATAGAGGTTTTACAGCACTCGCAACTGCATTATAAGGTCACCTGAGCGCCAAGGGGTGGATGTCAACAGAGAAGTCCTTACAGGGAATCAGACTCTCTGCTCACCTCTCTAGCTTCAACAGCACAAAGTCTGCTTCGACTATCAAGGCACCCCGGAAATAGTGGGTCACAAGAGTGAGACAAACACACAAAAGAAGTAGAGGAAAATGACAATAGTAAGGATTAGGAAATGTATTTTCTGTGCGTATGTATAATTACCATACTTCACTTTATAAGTATAGAAAGTTCAGCATCAGCAGGAAATAGCTTTAAATAATGCTTTTTATGACATATCAAGCTAATCTTTAAGGTATGACAGCAGTATGCTACAACGGGAGAAGTTCCCTAGAGGACCAGCACTTTATATATATATATATATATATTTCTAGATCCACTGTGAACAAGGTCCACTGAGCAAACTACAAACTACAAGGGTTAGGGTTGGGGTTACAAGGGGATAGGGGAATAGTCAAGTTGTGATGTCCCGGCCCAGGGGGCAGCCATTATGGCAAAATCAGTCAGGGAATCTCCATATTGGGTGCTTTTTCGCCAGTTTTAATTGGATGTTTTGCAGGTTTGATATCTCTCGCTCGCCAGGCATCATATAGCCTATAGATCTAGACCAAGGCTCAAATAAGCGGGGTGGGAACTGCCAAAAAAGCGCCCAATCTGGAGATTCCCTGACTGATTTTGCCAAAATGGCAGCCCCCTGAGCCGGGACATCACAACTCGACAAGTGCTGGGCTGGGATTAGCTAGGGAATGACAACTGAACGCCATTGGCCGATATTTACAGTAACCGCCATCTTGTTTGACCTCGCAAGGGGGATGCCTGCCGCGTCATCTGATCATGATTTTTTGTTTTTGTAACGTGTTTTACGGCGCTCGCAACTGCATAAGGTCATACGAGCGCGCGGGACACACCTAATATTTTCAGTAGGTAGGAAATTTTGAATTTTGCCCGGGTGGCGGCCGAAGCCTACTCTTATCGATTTTAGACCACCAAGGGATCTTTAATGTGCGCAACTTGCACACAGGCCCTCCGAGATTTTTCGCCCTTGTCTGAGAAGGCTAGGTGTAGATCTTTCCTACCAGAAGATCAGGGGTGTGGCAGAAAGACAGCAGTAAGGAGGAGCCAAGGAGTAGCAGTAGAAAAGCTGCAGAAAGAGTCAGGAGCCCAGAGGAGGGGGCAAAGGAAGTGAGGGGATGGGGGCAGAAAGTGGAAATGAAAGCAGACAACAGAACATTGCTAGAAAGCAGGAAAGGAAGTGAAAGGAGACAATTTTAGAGAAGAAAATTTTTCGGTCGCTGCCCGGATTCGAACCCGGGACCTCTGAATGAAGGGCCAACACCTTAACCTCTAGGCCACGAGAGCCCCCGACGAATGTTTGATCGGTCAAGGATCACTGCTTCATTTTCCTTCATCTCCTGGGATGTGTTATGAAGTTATGTATTCTTGATATTTGATCTAAGTCAGACGAGCACAAGACGATAGTAGTAAACATTCAGCCATATTGATTTCATAGGGAAGGAAAGTGTTTATTTTCGTATCGAACATCTTCACTATATTCGAGTATAAGTATCGAATATCATGGCGGAATAGCCTAATGTCATTGACATTTTGTACATACACCAATGGTTAGGAAGTGTAGATTGCAAACACCCACACAACACTTGATATATTACACAATGCAATTATCAAGGAAGGAATACACGATGGAAGAGGTTTCACAAATAAACAACACACTAGGAAGTGCATGGCCATTTTTCTTATTTCAGGTTATTAACTCAAATTACTGTTGCAAGTCCAAGCTCAGTGCCCATGATGAACACTTGCCAAGCACAGAAATAATGAACAATGTTGTTGTTATATAGTTAAGTTTCATTTTAAACAACGATAGGGAAATACCCAAAACAAGCTTGAAAAAAATGTCCAACTCTTTTGAAATTAAGTATCATTGATAGTAAAGCTGATGATGATAATGATAGATAAATAATGCTACTCTATTTAACATTAGAAGTGCATACATGGAGGAATTATTTTAATTATTAATTGATGAAGAAACCTTGGTCACGTCAAATGTCATCGAGTCACATCAAGCTTATATAATTATGTCCATGTTGAGCCTAATCCTATTTGCTAGATTTGAAATTATTGTAATAATTGACGAGATAGTCAACGAATAATGGTAATAACATAAATTGTTGCTATGAGATATTCTTTTGTTGAGTATTCAGTTGGGACCAAGTTTTTAAAATTTTCGTTAATAAAACGTCTTATTTTATTAAGTTCAGAAACGGAAGGATTCAAAAAAGATATTGGAAATGTCCATTTTGAATTTTTCTATAAAGTAAAGGGGATGTATTATAGTGAAGATGTTTGATATGAAAATAAACACTTCCCTTCCCTATGAAATCAATATGGCTGAATGTTTACTATCGTCTTGTGCTTGTCTGACTTAGATCAAATATCAAGAATACATAACATCATAACAGGATGGAACTTTTGAAGTAGGCTAAAATATTTAAACGAAGTGACTATTTCTCCGAATATTCGGGAAAATAAACTTGAACTCTATTTCTGCTAACGGTTTCCGTTCTCGAGATTTTTTTTATTATTTGCAAGAATTTGGCATCATCTTTCATTCTGCCATTCTGCGAGGACTGGGGAGAAGCATTTTCATTTTCATTTTTGCATCGAATTCAATTTTTAGAGCTAAATATTATGTAGATTAGATCTAGATCTAGATTCTAGATATCTAGATCTAGAATCTAGATTCTAGAGATTTTTAAATGTCTGAATATTCAGATACTTCAGGCATTGCAAACTAAAAATTCCATTTATAATTCAGCCATCAATAATAAGTACGGCTAGCCAAGAAGTCTAGCCGTCCTTGCCTTAAGTACGGCTAGCCTGCCAGTCTAGATCTAGCTGTACTTATCTTAGGCCCTATAATTATTAATTAACATTAGAAAAAAGGTCTCATATGGGTAAAATTCAGGTTTAAAATTCATTATGATTATAGAATCTATATCTAGATCTAGATCTATATCATACTAGATCTAGATCTATATGGCACCTGGTGTGACCTGGTTTCGTCTCAAATACAAAAATCGAAGTGGCTAGACTGCCAGTCTAGCCGTACTTAGATCTACGTTTGGCCCTATCGACTTAAACCTGTTAAGTACACAGGTCTCATTAGATCTAGATCTAGTAATTATTAAGGTTCAAATACATGCAAGTCAGTAAGGCACCTTTTGGTTTTGTCTGAAATACAAATATTTTAGGCATTACAAACTAAAAATTTCATTTACAATTCAGCCATCAATATTAAGTACGGCTAGCCTGACAGTCTAGCCGCCCTTAAGTACGGCTAGACTGGCAGTCTACCCGTACTTGAGTACGGCTAGCCAAGAAGCCTAGCCGTACTTAAGTACGGCTAGACTGCCAGTTTAGCCGTACTTATCTTAGGCCCTATTAACATTAGTAAACAGGAGGTTTAAAATACATGCACTGTCATTAAGGCCACATGGTTTCGTCACAAAATACAAATACTTTAGGTACTGCAAACTAAAAATTTATATTTACAATTTAGTATGCCTATTTTTTCTTCATGGTCAGTCTAGCCATCATAATATTAAGAATAAGTACGGCTAGCCCACCTGTCTAGCCCTACTTAAGTACGGCTAGACTACCAGTCTAGCCGTCATTAAGTACGGCTAGCCTCTTTCTACAAAAGGCCACCTCTATTCTCACCCGGAGTGAGAATAGTGCAGGCGAGTCTTGTGGCTATTCTCACCCGGTGCGCGTTCACCAAATTTTGCGTTCACCCTAAACCACAGAATTCTACACTGTGATAACAGAAAAATTGTAGAATTCTGTGCCGTGAACAAACGTTCCATTACAACTGTAGCCTACTAAAAGCGTACAATTTTGTCTGTGGGCAGTGGAGAGAGAGAGAGAAAGAGAGAGAGGAGTAGCGCGAGAATTTCCGGGCAAAACAAAATGGCGACCCGCGTAGTTCGGCTCGATTCGAAAAGTTAAATAGCCGTAGCATCTTTGTAGACAACCAAATTAATTTACTTTTGTGTTTTAACATAATTTTTTAACTTTGTTTTGGTCAATTTGATCGTCCACACCAATAGTCAATAGACAGTATTCAGAAAGAGACAGACAGAGAGAGACAGAAGAGGGGGGGAGATAATCTTGCGAGAACTTCCGGGCGGGTGAGATTTGAGAATAGCCACTTTCCCTACAAAAATACTTTAGAGGTAGATTCTAGATCTAGATCTAGATCTAGATCTAGAAACTAGATTCTAGATGTAGATCTAGATCTAGAATCTAGACTAGATCTAGAGATCTAGAAATCTACTGCAAACTAAAAATTTATTTACAATTCAGTATGCCTAGATATCTTTTTTTTTTTGGGGGGGTCAGTCTAGAAATCTAGATATCTAGCCATCACATTAAAAATAAGTATGGCTAGCCCAGCTAATAATCTAGCTGTCTAGCCGTACCTTGATTTAGCCAAATGATAGAAAGAACCCTAAGAATCTAATCTACGTTCACACCGTGAACGTAACCATTGCGTTAAAAGTATTTATTCAGTCATTTATCCCCCACCTCCAATCCCTTCCAAAGCAAGGTTCACAGTCACACAGTGTTCAAAGCATGTTTGTCTGTCATAAAATTTCTTTCATTCGTCGGCCTTGTTGTTTATAAAATTTCGTCTGAAACAGAACGGCGCCAAAGAGAGTTACAGCCCTTGCGACGTGACCAGCCGACTTCAAAAATAAACGGGCTAGGCCTAGATCTCGATTTATGACTCAAGGCTAGCCTAGATTAATTTAGATCTATGACTCAATGTCTAACTTCTAGCCTTTTTCTAGAACGAAATTGGTTTTCATAACTTCACCAGACACGAAAATGTATTAAGATTCTATTGCTTCTGCCAATATCATCACTCTTTGTATGATTTTCAAGACCAGGGAAAACTTAATTAATATTAATATATTGTAGTAAGAAAAAGTACGAATTATTAATTCTACGTCACAGATTTTTTTTCCCTGTCTCTTCATCATTACAAACAAACATGGCAGCCCCTGGTCTTGGATCACTTCCTGGCAGTCTCAAACAAATTCAACATTATCTGAAGACTGCAGCAGAACATGACAAGCGAGATCCAGTAATAGCATACTACTGTAGGTATTGTAACTTGTATACGGTACTCAATAGATCTAGATTTTCTAGTTTCTAGTTGGAAGTGTCCAACTTTCAGGAAGGGCCTTGACTTGTAAAACTAAAACTTGTTGATCAAACTTGAAACCCCTTCTAATTTCTTCCCAGGAGGGCCCAGCCCAACCCAACCTGAGATGAACTAAGGACTTTTTTTTTAAAAGCAGGTTGAGTTTAAAAGTACATTTACTAGATCTAGATTTAGATTCTAGAATTACAATCCATTAGTGTGACCATTTTCCCTAGGGAAGAGGCTAGCCGTACTTAATGACGGCTAGACTCACAGTCTAGCCGTACTTATTCTTAATATGATGGCTAGACTGACCATTTACAAAAAATAGGCCTACTGAATTGTAAATTACATTTTTAGTGTGCAGTACCTAAAGTATTTGTATTTGAAACAAAACCAAAAGGTGCCTTACTGACTTGCATGTTTTTGAACCTGAATAATTACTTGATCTAGATCTAATGAGACCTGTGTACTTAACAGGCTTGAGTCGATTGGGCCAAACCTAGATCTAAGTAGGGCTAGACTGGCAGTCTAGGCTAGCCACTTCGTTTCCCTAGAGCCTAGGGCCACCTCTATTCTCACCCGATAGTGCAGTCGAGTCTTTTGGCTATTCTCACCCGGTGCGCATTCACCGTATTAGCCTAATCTAGATCTAGATTCTAGGCCAACCAATTTTGCGTTCACCCTAAACCACAGAGAATTCTACACTGTGACAGAAAAATTGTAGAATTCTGGGCGATTGTTAAGATTCCCACGTTTAATTCCGATATATGTGCGTTTTTCATACCCTCAGGCATATTTCGCTTTGGTCCCTAACCCTAGGTTAGGGTTAGGGCTAGGGTTAGGGTAAGGGACCAAAGCGAAATATGCCTGAGGGTATGAAAAACGCACATCGGAATTAAACGCGGGAATCTTAACAATCGCCGAATTCTGTGCTGTGAACAAACGTTCCATTACTACTGTTAGCCTACTAAAAGCGTACAATTTTGTCTGTGGGCAGTGGAGTAAGAGAGAGGAGTAGCGCGAGAACTTCCGGGCAAAACAAAATGGCGACCCGCGTAGTTCTGCTCGATTCAAAAAGTTAAATAGCCGTAGCATCTTTGTAGACGACCAAATTAATTTACTTTTGTGTTTTAACATAATTTTTTAACTTTGTTTTGGTCAATTTGATCGTCCACACCGATAGACAGTATTCAGAAAGAGATAGAGAGAGAGAAGAGGGGAGGAGTAGATCTTGCGAGAACTTCCGGGCAAAACAAAATGGCGACCCCCCGTAGTTCAGCTCGATTCGAAAAGTGAAATAGCCATTAGCTTACTTTTGTGCTATAACGTAATCTTTTCCTTGCCTTTATCCATTTGATCATCCACATCGATAGAAAGTATTCCGAAATTTGGAAAAACAGGTCTTGTTTCACACCGGGTGAGAATAGCCTACGGTGGTAAGTCTCACCCAGGGTGAGAGGTCGATCGTATTTCTATTCTCACCCCGGGTGAGAATAGCCACTTCCTTTCCCTAGACCTAGAATCTAGATCTAGAATGTAGATCTAGAATCTAGATACTTCGTAGGTAGACGGTAGGGCCCCTCCTTGCCATCAGTCCACCGTTTTACTCCCTCTCTAGGCGAGGCCTAATTTTGGGAGAACTTCCGTAACGAGCGACCACTATTAATTCAAGATTGTACTTGTTGAGCACCACAATTCTTATGGGAGACTGAAAGCCACTGTTATAATACCTGTTCAACGATTTGAAGATCTGAGTCGGGGATTAGTAGAATTTACTCAGGGCGCAGCCATTGTTGACCATGCATACTTTCTCAACTTCCGCTCTTCAGGAGCGCTGATTTGCCAGGTTTTCTTCGGTTTCTAGCCAAATTCTCGTCTCGATTAATCCTCCAATAAATGACGAGCGACCACTATGAAACAGGGTAGAAGAGACATTAAGGGTTAGGGCTAGGGCTACGGTTAGGGGTAAGGGTAGGGTTACGGGTAGGAGTAAGGTTAGGGTTAGGGTTTAAGGTTTAGGGCAAGGGTTAGGGTTTGGAAGTGGCTATTCTCACCCGGGGTGAGAATAAAAATACGATCTACCTCTCACCCCGGGTGAGACTTGCCAGCGTAGGCTATTCTCACCCGGTGTGAAACAAAACCTGTTTTTCCTCATTTTGGAATACTGTCTATCGGTGTGGATGATCAAACTGATAAAAGCCAAGAAAAAATTACGTTATAGCACAAAAGTAAGCTAATTTGATCATCTTCTAAGATACTATGGCTATTTCACTTTTCGAATCGAGCCGAACTACGCGGGTCGCCATTTTGTTTTGCCCGGAAGTTCTCGCAAGATCTCTCTCTCTCTGTCTCTTTCTGAATACTGTCTATCGGTGTGGACGATCAAATTGACCAAAACAAAGTTTAAAAATGATGTTAAAAAACAAAACTAAATTAATTTGGTTGTCTACAAAGATGCTATGGCTATTTAACTTTCCAAATCGAGCCGAACTACGCGGGTCGCCATTTTGTTTTGCCCGGAAGTTCTAGCGCTACTTCTCTCTCTCTCTCTCTCTCTTTCTCTCTCTCCACTGCCCACAGAGAAAATTGCACGCTTTTAGGCTAACACTAACAGTAGTCTATCTAGAACGTTTGTTCACAGCACAGAATTCTATGTTATCACAGTGTAGAATTATGTGGTTCAGGGTGAACGCTTCTCTGGTTGGCCTATGTTATAAACGGTGAGCGCCTACTTGGTGAGAATAGCCAAAAGACTCGCCTGCACTATTCTCACCCGGGGTTAGGGTTAGGGATAAGGTTAGAGTTAGGGTTAGGGTTAATGTTAGGGTTAGGGTTTAGGGCTGGGTTTAGGGATAGGGTTAGTTTTAAGGTTAGGGATAGGTTTAGGGGTAGGGGTAAGTGTAGGGTTAGGGGGTAAGGGTAGGGGTAGCATTAGATATAAATCACAGGACCTACCTTTTCAGTAATCTCAGCCGTCCAGTCCTGGGTAAACCTCACTATTTGTTATGTACTGTTTTCACTCTTATTACAGATGGAGATGGGATAACAAAGCCCTGATGTTGCGATTGGTTACAACGGAATGCGTCTTCTAGATTCTTTTGTCTTTCTTTTTTTCCCCGCTCAATACATGTGCGAAATGATTTTGTTTGATGTTTCTCTTATGCCTTACCGCGACACAGGCGCACGAAAAACACGAAATAAAGGTAGACTGGTATGGAGAAATCCGCGCTTGTCCACAGCGGCAACTTAGAAAACGAAAGTCCGCCATTTTATGCAAATGAGGTCAACCCGACTCAGTTTTTTGGGGGGTGGTTTTTTTTTGTTGCCGATCGTATCATCTTTCGTAATTTTGCGAAAGAACCTCGACAAAATCCTTCCAGGTAAAAAATAATTACGTTTTGGTAATTTTGAAAAGTGATACACTCCCACTTAACTCATGTAGGTTTATAAGAACTTTTTTTTCCACATTGGTAACACCAGCTGTTTGGCATAGTGGTTATGCTGCTGGACTACTAATCATGTTTGCTTCCCTCACTTACAGGTTCAATTCCGGGCCACGCCACTGATTTTTCTAATCATGTCATAATTGTGTATGCTTTGAGATGTTAACATGTTACTAATAATACCCATTCCAGGTGAAGAGACAAAGGAAGGCAAGAGGAATACAATGTAACACAAATTCAGTTTACTTTCTTTATTGCCCAACCAAATACTAAACCCTATCTTTTACATATCCCACTCAAAAGTCTGTTCTTTATTGCGTACATTGGAGTGGTGGCTCGTTACGAAAGTCCTTCCCTAATTTTTATCATGTTTATGGAGTCTAGAGATCCTAGATCTAGATTTAGATATATGTTGACTCAAGTTGACTGCATTTTTAAAACACTAAATTGACTAAAAAGTTTTTCTTTTCGAAGTGTATAAAGACCCGGTAACCGGGAACAAAGTCACGAAGTATACAGATCCGGTAGGGGAACTCTTTTGTGATTTCGGAAAGTTTCAGCGCCCAGACCTGGTAGTGTGTGTGTGTGTGTGTGTGTGTGTGTGTGAGAGTTAGAGAGAGAGAGAGAGAGAGAGCAAGGGGAAGTGCTAGCAAAATGTTTATATATGACATGCCCCAGTTGGCAGGAGGGAACGAGAGAAAGATAGAGTGGGAAATAGGTGGGGAGAAAGAAAGACAGAGACAAACAAAGAAAAAGAGAATGCGAGAGATACACAGAGACAGAGGAGGGAGAGAGAGAGAAATAGAGAGGGTGACTGCTCGATTGAAATTATGACATTGTTCTTTTCTTCAAATTGTGATTCCTCCAACTCCAAAACGGGGTAAAAACGATCGTTCATCAATTTAGACATCCGCAACCTTCATTTAGATTTAGATCTAGATCTAAGCTAGCCTCGAAACTAGATCAATGATTTATATCTGTCTAGATCTAGACCTAGGCCATCTATAGATCTAGAAGAACCTAGTTCTACCCTGAGCCAAGAGGGCGCTGAAACTTTCCGAAATCACAAAAGAGTTCCCCTACCGGGTCTGTATACTTTTGTGACTTTGTTCCCGGTTACCGGGTCTGTATACACTTCCTTTTCTTTTACTAGATTTCTATATAACACATCATAAGTCATAAGTCTGTGTATACTAAATCTAATAAAAGTGCATTGTTGTAGGCTACCATAAATAAGTTATAGAGTCTAGAATTAATTAAAATAGAATCAAATTGTTCCTTTTTCATCCACTTGATTTAACATTATACGTCCTAATTCATGATTTGAACTTTTGATATTTTTTTTAATTGTTTTTTTTTTTTTTTTTGGGGGGGGGAGTTATCTGCCATAACGTCAGTGAACTGACTGCCACAGAAGTACACACCGCACATGGCGCACAACACCAACAGGTTGGCTACTTGATTATCTTTCTCCCATGAGAAAGGCATAGAAATTTGTAATAGAGAGAGAGAGGACTCTTGGCTCTGAATACATGAGCATGTACATGTATATCACCAAGAAAAAGACAGTTTTCAGACACAGATCACACAGCAGAATCATGTTCCTGACGGTGACATTGGGCAGTCGGGGCAATACAACAGAGGAACCCCTTTGATTTTGAACAGCCAGCCCCACTGTGCCACCAACTTCATGCCCGTCCCAAGAGGGGAGGTATA